GAAGTCCTTGGAGGATTGCAGACACAAGAGGAATGTGATCTGGTTAACAGTTTCAAAGGGCCTCTGTGTTTTCAAACTATACTAAAAGGGGGCAAGGGCAAAGTAGGGACACTAGGTTGGAAGCTATTGAGCCAATCCAGACAAATGATAATGGTGGAAAGTGCTGAGTGGTGAGAAATGGCTAAATTCTGGATATAATCTGAAGATAAACTTAATAGGAGTCATTGATGGATTTGATACACGATGTGAGAGTACAAGGATTTAACGATGACTCTGGAGTTTGTTGTCTAAGCAACTGAAAGAATGGAGTTGTATCAAGTAAGATGGGAAGCAGACTGCATGGCTTTGGATGTATCGAGTTTGAGATGTCTACTAGATATTCTAGTAAAAATGTCCTATCCAAGTTGACACTTGGATAGAGATGAGTATGGAGTTTAAGGGGGAGTGGTCTAGTTTGGAGACATAAATTCGGCAGCCATCAATGTGTAGATGGAATTTAAAGCTTTGAGACTGGATGGGATCACGCAGGGAGTGAGTACAGTCAGAATGAGAGGTCTGGACTGAATCTGGAGGAATTTCAACAATTAGGAGTCAAAGAGATAAGGAGGAGGGAGCAAGATTCAGTGGGAATGGACAGAGAGGGAGGAGGAAGTCAGGAGAGCATGGTATACTGGAAGCCAAGTGAAGACAATGTTTTCAGGAGGAGAGTGGAAACACTGTTGCCAGGTCAGGTTAGGAGAGGAATTTGGCATCAGAGGGTCACTGTGAACCTAAGAACAATTCAGTGGAGTGGTGGAGATGACAGACTGACTGTGGTGGGTTCGAAAGAGATGGGAGGAGAGAAATGGAGGATGGTGAATGTTGCAACTCTCCTAGGTAGTTTTTGTGAACATGTGTAACAGAAAGAAAAGCAGTGGAACCTGATGGGGGCAGGTGGCACCAAGGCAAATCTTTGTTTTTTTAAATTGGAGAATTAATGTCATGTTTATATGCTAATGCAAGTGATTCAATAGAGAGGGAAAACAGGGATGCTACAAGAGAGAGGGAAGGCTTTTTGGAGCACATCAACTGAGCAAATGGAAGGGGATGGGATCTGGGGCAGAAGTGGGGATCTGGCCTCATCTAAGCTCTTCTATAGTAATGGGAGAGACTCTAGTAGGCAGGAAATGTGGTGGGAACTTGTGGAAGTTCTGTTTTTAGGCTTCAAAAATGGGAGGTTAGGACATTACGGAGAGTAAAGTAGAACTCTGGGGAGGAAAGGAATGAGGCAGAGGGCTGCTGTTTATTATTATTATTTTATTTTATTTTACTTTTTTTGAGACAGAGTCTTGCTCTGGTCGCCCAGGCTGGAATGCCATGGTGCAATCTCAGCTCACTGAAACCTCCGCCTCCTGGATTCAAATAATTCTCCTGCCTCAGCCACCTGAGTAGCTGGGATTACAGGCGCATGCCACCACGCCCGGCTAATTTTTGTATTTTTAGTAGAGACGGGGTTTCACCATGTTGGTCAGGCTGGTCTCAAACTCCTGACCTCGCGATCCACCTGCCTTGGCCTCCCAAAGTGCTGGGATTACAGGCGTGAGCCACCACACCTGGCCTGTTTATTATTATTAAATAATATTATTTAATAACTCTGTGCTACTACTTGATAATTAAAACTATGTACATATATTAATTTGATAAAACGAACATTTTTTAAAAATAAGAGAGGAGAATGTCTGGACTACCTCTCTGGGTGAATTTCAGGCAACTCTTGAGATGAATGGAGGAACACAACAACCAGCTGTGGAGTCATGGTTCTAGAATGGAATGGCCAATGTCAGAATGAACCATCGGGGTATGAAAGATTTTCTTTGGGTTCTAAAACACGAAGAATATTAAAAGTAGCAAAACAATATTATTGCATTTCACCAGGACTTCTATCAGGAGAGATCCTGCCTCTTACAATTGCAAATATATTTCAGTGATTAAGCTATGTTAATCACTGCTATTTCTGCCTTTCAAAGTCTCAAACAAATAGTTTTTCAGCTCTATGATGTTGGGAGCTCTTTGTAACTTGAAGACTGAGACTGGAGGATCTCCCTCTCTGTCTTTCCCTCCCCTCCCTCTCTCTTTGTTCCACCTCTTTCTCTGTCTTTTCCCTTCATCCTGTTGCAAGACATGGGCCTCCACAAGTCACATTCTCAGTCAGGAACTATTTTTTTTTGAGATGGAGTCTTGCTTTGTTGCCCAGGCTAGAGTGCAGTGGCATGATCTGCAGCCTCTGCCTTCCAGGCTCAAGCAATCCTCCCACCTCAGCCTCCCAAGTAGCTGGGACTACAAGTACATGCCCACTACATCCAGCTAATTTTTGTATTTTTTGTAGAGACGGGGTTTCACCATGTTACCCAGCCTGGTTTTGACTTCCTGAGCTCCCACTTCAGCCTCTCAAGGTGCTGGGATTACAGGTATGAGCCACTGTGCCCAACTCAGTGAGGAACTTCTTTATTTTTCTGAGAATCTCCTTTTTTCTTCCGTCTATCTAGATTGAACTTATTTTTCAAAATTCAGATCAAATTTTGCTTTCACACTGAAGCTTCTTTTGACCAATTCAGTTCTCACTTATCTTTTCCTCTTTTTCTTTACTTCTCTTTATACTTGGAGAGATAAAAAGCCCAAGTATATTGTTGGAAATAGTGAAAGGGAGTTAAGGGTGTTATATGTTTGGAAGAATTTGTCTGCGTAAGGCTCTCTGTGAATTTTTAATAGAGCAGCTTAGAAGGGAAAAGGAAGTTTTCAATAGAAATATCAGGGCATTTGTATTTTTAGAATACAATACTAAAAATTGGGCTTTTATAAAAGGTGGACTTTAAAAGGAAGTTTTCAATAGAAAACTTGGTCTAAATATCAGGACATTTGTATTTTAGTCCTGACTCTGCCACTAGCAGTTTGGCTTCAATCAAGTCATGTAACTTATTTGTCTCTCAATAACCTCATCTTTAAAATTAATGTCTTCGACTATATAATCCAAGTCTAGACACGATGGCTAAAATGCAAACATTCAGCTGCAATTTAAAGATAGGAAGAGTTAGTTGGGGGCAGATTTTGCCTTTGAGAGTGTGTGGGATTATGGGTTGGCACTGGACTTTCTGTGCCCCAGACAATGTCTGTTGTCAGACCTCTCATCATCCTGTGGAGCTGTCATCCCATCCCCAGACCTCTTACCCTGCCCCAAACCACAGAGGCACTGCACTAGCTCTTGCTCGTCTGGGTCTCAGCCTTTATTCTGAGCTGCTTATCCTGGCTCACCCCTCCTTCATGGTTATCTCAATCTGCATCCTCTCAGCTTCACACTGAATTGCTCTTTTTTTTTTTTAAGTTTATTGAGACTTTCATTATGGTCCAATGTACGAGCTATCTTGATAAATGTTTCATGTACGCTTGAATATGTTTTCAATATGTTTTCTACTTTTTTAAAAAAATTATACTTTAAGTTCTGGGATACAAGTGCAGAATGTGCAGTTTTGTTACGTAGGTATACACGTGCCATGGTGGTTTGCTGCACCCATCAACGTGTCGTCTACATGAGGTATTTCTCCTAATGCTATCCCTCCCTTTGCCTCTCACCCCACAACAGGCCCCGGTGTGTGATAATCCCCTCCCTGTGTCCCTGTGTTCTCATTGTTTAACTCCCACTTATGAGTGAGAACATGTGGTGTTTGGTTTTCTGTTTCTGTGTTAGTTTGCTGAGAATGATGGTTTCCAGCTTCAACCATGTCTCTGCAAAGGACACGAACTCATCCTTTTTCATGGCTGCATAGTATTCCATGGTGCATATGTGGCACATTTTCTTTATTCAGTCTATCACTGATGGGCATTTGGGTTGGTTCCAAGTCTTTTCTATTGTGAATAGTGCTACAATAAACATACTATCCAGAATCTACAAAGAACTTGAGCAAATTTACAAGAAAAAAACAACCCTATCAAAAAGTGGGCAAAGGATATGAACAGACACTTCTCAAAATAAGACAATAGAGGCAACCTAAACACGGAGACAGCGGGCTCTGGGATTGGGCAGCCAGCCTCTCTGCTGGAGGCTCTGGGGTCCACCGATGACTGTCTCTTCCTGGTTAAAGGTGGAATTTTCCTTGGTACTGTTGATGCAGCAGGAATGCTAGCTGGATTTATTACAACATTATCACTGGCTAAAAAGAAAAGCCCTGCATGGTTCAATAAGGGAAGCATGGCCACGGCTGCATTACCAGAAAGCAAGTCTTCCCTTGTCTTGCGAGCTCTGGGCTGGGGCTCACTATATGTGTGGTGTGGGGTTGGTGTGATTAGCTGCTCAGTCTGGAAAGTTTTAGGAGTTCACAGTGACATGTAAGAGATATCCTCATTTTAATTGAAGGCTACATTACCAACTTTCTACCCGAGAAGTCGTTTTTCTTCGGGACCCACAATCAAAGGCTTTCCTCTGGCATGAGAAAGGAGTAACATTCTCGTCTGATGAGTTTTTAGTGCTGAAGTGACTTCCAGTTGTCCCCGACCCCGCTCAAGCTCCTGCTGACTGTCCCAGTGTGGGTCTGGCCAGGACTGGCACCAAGGCAGTGGGATCCTTTATAAATAGGCCTCCAGCGCCATACACTAGAAAGCAGGAGCCCACTTCTGGGATACTGGGAGATGGTGCAGGCAGCCACCGGTACTAAAGCACAGCGCCCTATCCTTCCCGGCAGGGCCACAGTTCAGAAGATGTAACCTGATTTTCATCTGTAGTCACTAGAAGCATTTTTCCTTGACATTCATACTAAAAATAGAAAACCAGTAATTCCAGGGATCTGGGTTAGCCTCTTAAACATGTCAACTATTGATGAGAATACTCTTTGTAAAACTGACTCCAGAAATCACTTGCTAGAGAAGCAGCCCTTCACTGCCTTAGTCTGAGCAGCCACGGAAAGCACGCGTTGGAGGCGCTGGCAAGGCCCGCGCAGCCGCAGTAGAGGGCCGGGGGCAGGTCGTGCGCACCCGCCATGGAGGGCTTGAAGGTGCTGCCAACGGCTCTCTCGGCGTCTCGACGTTCTGGTCAGCAGCTTTTTCCCGTTCTCTCCCTCCACTTCTTGAGTGAGCAGCCCCGAGTTGGACTGTGCCTGTTGTGTGGGTCAGCCAGAGAGTGAGCTCGGCGGGAGCGAATTTTCTGTGCCTGGGGATGGCCCTGTGTCCCTGTCAGGCGGCGTGCATGCTGCTCAAGGGCGCCTGCCTCTTCACCCCCGTGAGCAAGATGGCGACTGTGAAGAGTGAGCTTATTGAGCGCCTCACTTCGAGGAGCCGTGTCATCACAGTAAGGTCTCCATCATAGGAACTGGATCAGTGGGCATGGCCTGCGCTAGCAGCATTTTATTAAAAGGCTTGAGTGATGAACTTGCCTTTGTGGATCTTGATGAAGGCAAACTGAAAGGTGAGACAATGGATCTTCAATATTTAGCCCTTTCATGAAACTGCCAAACATTGTTTGTAGCAAAGATTACCTTGTCATGACGAACCCCAACCTAGTGATTATTACAGCAGGTGCACGCCAAGAAAAGGGAGAAATGCGCCTTCATTTAGTCTAGCGAAATGTGACCATCTTAAAGTTAATGATTTCCAGTATTGTCCAGCACAGCCTCCTCTGCAAACTGATTATTGTTTCCAATCCAGTGGATATCTTAACTTACGAAGCCTGGAAGTTGAGTGCATTTCCCAAAAACCGTGTTGTTGGAAGCGGCTGTAATCTGGATACTGCTCGTTTTCTATTCTTGATTGGACAAAAACTTCGTATCCACTCTGAAAGCTGCCATGGATGGATCCTGGGAGAGCATGGAGACTCAAGTGTTCCTGTGTGGAGTGGAGTGAACATAGCTGGTGTCCTTTTGAGGGATTAATCTCTGATATAGGAACTGATAAAAAATCCTGAGCAGTAGAAAAATGTCCACGAAGAAGTGATTGCTAGTGCCTATGAGATTATTAAAGTGAAAAGTTCTACTTCTTGGGCCATTGGCCTGTCTGTAGCTGATTTAACAGAAAGTATTTTGAAGAATATTAGAAGAACACATACAGTTTCCACCATAATTAAGGGCCTCTGTGGAATAAATGAAAAAATATTCCTCAGTATTCCTTCCTTGGAGAGAAGGGTATTACCAGCCTTATAAAGATAAAGCTGACCCCTGAAGAGGAGGCCCATATGAAAAACAGCGCAAAAACACGTTGGGAAATTCAGAAGGAGCTTGAGCCTTAAAGTTGTCTAAAACTACTATTCCGAAATTATTGAAGAGATCATAGGTACAGGATTATATATCAAAATTTTGAATAAACTTGAATTCCTAAAAGATGGAAACAGGAAAGTGGGTAGAGTGACTTTCCTGTTTATTTAGTCTTCCAGCTCTTTTATTTAGCATCCAGGTGCTGGATGATACTTATTTACAATTCCCAAAGACAGTGATTTTGGTACCACTGATGTAGCAGCACTTACCTTGTTATATATATGTAGTTGCCATTTGGTTCCCAGAAAGTAGGATGTAGGTATTTATTCTGTTCTAGAAATTCTGATTCTTTTCTTTAGATATATGCTAGTTCTTCTTGCTGGTTTATCTGTGTTCATTTGTATGCTATAAAAAATTGGTAATTTCCTCTACAATGTAAAAAGTGTGTACATACAAAAAAAAAAAAAAAGAAGACATTTATGCAGCCAACAAACATATGAAAAAAAGCTCAATCATCACTGGTCATTACAGAAATGCAAATCAAAACCACAATGAGATACCATCTCACACCAGTTAGAATGGCAATCATTAAAAGGTCAGGAAACAACAAATGCTGGAGAGAATATGGAGAAATAGGAACACTTTTAAAATGTTGGTGGGAGTGTAAATTAGTTCAACTGTTGTGGAAGACAGTGTGGTGATTCCTCAAGGATCTAGAACCAGAAATATCATTTGACCAGCAATCCCATTACTGGGTATATACCCAAAGGATTATAAATCATTGTACTATAAAGACACATGCTTTCTCTTTTTTCTAACTTGCTCTTCAGACTTAATGCTCCATATTACCTTCCTCACTATGAGTTTGTCTCCCCCTAGAAGATAGTCTATGTATTCCAGTTGGCTGTGGACCTGATTCTGCTTGGGGCATGTATTTCTCTTGAATACTTGAATACCATGGGACCCACCCATGTTTTCTGGGACTCAGGCATAAGGCAATCACCTCAATTTTCTATGTCCATGTAATGACTCTGGTGCTGGTATTATCCTGTTAACTAGATTGTAGTTGTGGTTCTCTGCATGTAAGGATCAATGATTTTTTTCCTGCTGATTCCCCCAACAACCTTATATAATGTTGAATTCCTATAAGATGCTTAGAAACTAGTTGCTAATTTGTACATTCCCACTTTTCAGATCCTCATCCAGATTATCTTTTGTTGGAGGATTTTGTAAAAACACAAAGGGGAAGAGTAGACACTGCTGAAGGAAAGAACTTAAAAGTCAGGAGCTGCCTTGGTTTCCCCTTTTATTTTCTTCCTCTTGCTTTTGTTGTCTCCTCTTTCTAATATAGTAATAGGAGTGTATGACTACCACATATATTTGTTTAAATTTAACTTAAAATATCCATTCTAGGTAATCTGCCTTTAGCCCTTTTCTATCAGGGTACTATATTTTATTAATTAATTCCTTATAATTAACTTCATTTATTAATTTCTTATTAAATAATCTCATAATGGAAAAGGAGCACCAATTCCTGGTTGAATAAAGAGGGGAATCACTTCGTTGTCAGGACAGAAACTCATTCAAGCCAGCTTAGGTCAGAAACAAAACAGTGGGGAATGTGTTGAATGTCTGAAGGTATCTCTAATAACCGTAGAGTAATAATTATAGAGATATGTCATTTAGTACTGGATCCAGGACCCAGAAAATTTGAATCCAAGGTTACTTGCTTTGTTTTTTTCAGAAGAGTTGATCTCTTGGCTCTGCTCCTATCGGTACATCAACTTTATTTTTCCTGGGTCTTACTGTAGATTATCTTACTGTGCTCCAGCCCGCGCATGTTGTTCCCAGCCTCTGCATTTCCAGGTCTCCTAACTCAAACACTTACCAGAAACTAAGTTCAGTCTAGTTTCTGTGTTCCAATTCTAAATTCCAAGAAGAGATTCTGATTGTCCAGCTTTGGTCAGATACAGACCCCCCAACCTGTCAGCAGGGGTTAGGGAGTAGAAGAGTCATGTCCTACAAACATGGGTACAAATATGGACATCAGCATGGGGGAGGTTCTTACCCCTGAAAGTCCCTAAGTGTTGGTGTAGAACAGTTTCTCAATATATACTGGTTGATTTTACTATGTCAGGCTCACAAAGTTTATACAGAATAGACCTTTCTAATCTCCTAAATTTCTTTGTTTTGGAATGTGGCTGATGTCTGAATATAGAATCCAACAAAATAATTAAAGTGCTGTTTGGAGATTTAGCTTGAAGGGTAATCACTTTTTAACTTAATATGTGTCTTAGATCTTGATTTAACTGTCTCTTTTGTGGGGTGAAAATTTGTTTGATCTTGTCTTATCATTAGAAAAGACACAGCATGGGAATTCTATGCATTCCTGTAAAGTTCAAACACATTTCCTTTTGTTGACAGGTAGTAATTTGTATGAGGCAGGCAAAGGAAGAATGGGTTCAAACAAATGATTCAAGTTCAGAAATACGCAAATTAATGGATTTTCTAATTTTTTTTTGTTTGAAACTTTTACCTTAAGCCTGTTGATTAGTTGTGATTGCTTTGTAACAAGAATCTGTAGGGCATCTGAGGACATCATCACTGATCTGGGGAAACAGGACCTGCTTTGGGGAATTGATCTTACAAGATTGAGGCAGCACTTTCCAACATAAATGTAATGTGAGCCACATATGAAACTTGAAATTTTCTGGTAGCCACGTAAAAAGTTGGTAAAATAAATCAGTAAATTAACTTTAATAATTTTACTGAAACTGATATATTCAAAGTATTATTTCAGCATGTAATCAATATAAAAATCATTAGTGAGATATTTTCACACTCTTTTTATATTAAGTCTTTGAAATCTGGTGTGTGTTGTATGCTTAGAGCACAACTCAATTCAGATGTTAATTTTTCAATGATTAAAGTGAAATGCAGACCTACCAAAACATGATATTTGTGTTTAATAGAAAAATATTTTATGTTGCTTCAGTTTATTTTAATGCATTTAAATAAAATAAATTCAATTTGTCAATCTGCAGTAACTTTATCGCAAATGATCAGTAGCATTTAATCATTTCCTATTAAATAATCTCATAGTGGACAGTGGCTTGTGGCCATTGTATTGGACAGCACAGTTTTAGAGAATGGGATTCATGAAATTTGAGACCAGAGTTTATCTTTCACCAGTGAAGCTTAACCTAAGAGTGAATTTTGTTATGAATTGGTGTCCACTGTGTCGCTGCTCGAGTATCACTCAGAATTCCGTCTCTGGCCCCTCACTGTTGACAGTGGCTTAGCTGATCTCATCCTCACCACTGCGGCTGGCTCTAGTCATCACCCTGCTGCATCTGTCCTAGCCCAACCCAGTAGTGGTGGCCCTGCTCACCACTTTGCAGCCCTGAAACTTGTCTGTCTCTTGCTCCAGGGCAGACTTTCTTGTAGTCTTGTTCTGCTGGCAATAGTCTTAATGCCCTAATGCTTTAATGACATTACATGAGTTTGGCACAAGTTGCAAATTTGGAGATTATTGTGTTAAAAACTGAAAACTACTGTAGCAAAAGGACTTGCTTTATTTTGGTTAACCCTGTGTTTTCCAAGCGTAGTTGACCACAAGTCTCTTTTAAAAGAATAACATTAAGTTACTGCAGGAGACCAAAAATATGTCAAAAATATGCATGAAGATACTGTCGGAGACCAAAATATGCCACCCCAAAATATTTCTGTTTGGCATGAAGGTTATTTTGAGCTGATTAATTTGAGACACTGCAGACACAGGGGAAGCTCTGAAAACACAGAAGTTGCCCTTTCGTAAGGGAAATTTATATTTGTAAAGGAAATCTCTATCAGTAAGGATGTCACTTTATCTCTACCAAGAAAAGGATGACTAAATCACTGGAGACTCATCAATGAAGAAGGCACTGACTTAAATCTGCATAACTGCCCTTGCCCTTTGATATGGCTTGGCTGTGACCCCACCCAAATCTCATCTTGAATTGTAGCTCCCACAGTTCCCATGTGTCATGGGAGGGACCCCATGGGAGATAATTTCATCACGGGGGCAGATCTTTCCCGTGCTGTTCTCATGGTAGTGAATAAGTCTCATGAGATCTGATAGTTTTATAAATGGGAGTTCCCCTGCACAAGTTCTCTTGTAAGAGAACTTGTAACTATATAACTGCTGTGTAAGAAGTCCCTTTGTGCTTCATCTTCTGCCATGGTTGTGAGGTCTCTCCAGCCATGTGGAACTGTGAGTCCCTTAAACCTCTTTCCTTTATAAATTACCCAGTCTCAGGTATGTCTGTATTAGCAGCATAAGAACAGACTAGTACACCCTTGTTTACTGTGCTTTTCCTGGGCATCTCTCCATAACTACCCTTTTCCCACACCCTCCTTTCTTTGTTTCAGCAGATGATGGTATTTAAGCCTGAACTCAAAACCATGCCTTTGAGATTTACTTATTTCTTTGGGTTATCTCCTAGTATATATGAGGCATACATGCTATTAAGCTTCTGTTTATTTTTCTAATTTGCTCATCTTTTGTTACAGGGATCTATCCCAACTAACAACTATGAAGGGTAGAGATAAAATTACTTTTCCTCCCCTATATTACATACTACTGAAGTGTTCTGAAACACAAACTCTCAGAAAAACTGCTCTGGTTGGCTACAGAGTGCTTGATTCTGAGACCTGCTCTTTTGACCATGTTTGACTTCAACAGGTCCTTGAATGTACCATTCTGTACATGTCTGTAGAGGACATCTGTTATTTTTGCCTGAACATCATCTGTTCCCTGTTTTCTGATGTCAGAATCCTCCTTTCCATGGGGAATTCATTCTACATTGGTTGGATGTGACATTTGTCACCTCTTCCTAGCCACAGAGTTGGGTACATGGTGTGGAGACTGTTATTGTTCATACTCCCTTTTTTTTACCTGGGCACATAGTTAGACTATATTTTCCTAATTCCCTTGCATTTAGCATTGGTCATGTGACTAAGGTTGGAGCAATGGACAGTGAGCAAAAGTAATGTATACAAATTCTAGGCTGAGGCCTGAAGACAACAGGAATGCTTTGTCAGTGCTCTATTTTCTTTCCCAGAAGCTGGAGTAAGGATTTGCTTTCCTCCAGGTTCAACCACACACACACTAGGGGCTGATAGGAAAACAAAGTGGAAGAAATCTAGATTTCTGAATGACTCCATGGTGCAGAGCCCTTACTATTATGGAATATCACCTCAGGTTATGAGAGAGAAGTATACCTCTATTTTCTTGAAGCCACTGAATTATTATCTTTTAAAGTCTCTTTGCTATTGAAGCATAGCCTTATTCTGGAAAATATAGTACATGGACTCAGTTATAATCCCACTTCTGCTGGCCATGATGAATGTTCCAGGAATTGGACCTAACCCAGATCAAAGTCATGCTTTGGATGTTTATGCTAAAGCTAGCTGA